TCGGCACTAAAAAATACCAAAGTGTCGATCACCAAAAGCAAGCGCTTCGCCGGGAATGGGGAAAAATACCGCATAGCAACATTCGGGCAGCGTGTGACGTTTTCATTGGCCATTTGAAGGCCATAATTCGTGCCAAAGGTGACCAACTCGAACAAATCTAAACTTATCCTAAAATTTGATGCTATTTCCGATATGTTTTGCTTTCATTCAATAAAATTTAAAAAAATATATAAAAATTATGGCCTTTGACTTTGTTGCAGTTTTTTTTATCTCGCCCTGTATATAGAAGTTTGTCGTTCGAATAGCCCTTATTAAAGATATATTTTTGTCACAAATTATTTTTCTCCAACCACTAGTCCCACAAACTTGAATATTTATATCCTACAACACTATGTGTTGGGGGTATTATAAGTTTTATTCGGCCAAAAATTATGTAATACCTAGAAATATTAGTTTCCCACCGTCCGTCCGTTCGTCTGTCCATCTTAATTTGTAAGCACTCTACAGGTCACAATTATGGCCCGATCTTCACGAAATTTAGAATGGAGGTGGGGCTGGGGCCAGAATAGAACCCTATTGCTTTTGGAGATGATCGCATAATATTTAGGGGTTGAAATGGACCAAAAACTGAAAAATTTCCTTATTTTACAGTTGCACTACAGGTCGCAATTATAGACCAATCGCAGCGGAAGTTGGCACGGGGCTAGAGCTTAGAGCTGGGCAGAAACCTTTCAATTTTTATTTTTAATTCCTGCGAAATTACAAATAGACGAACAAGTCAGTTCTGGATTATATTTAGCTGTAAAATATACCACAGCAGCTATCAGCACGACGGAGTGCGTAAGCATTGGGTAAATGTCCTTGGTAAAAAAGCTAAGGGTAATATTGGCAGGCAGTGCTCTATGACATAATTTCAAAATCGAAACCTTCTGGATTTGGAGATAAGGGGGCTTTCACCACATTGTAGTTTTGTAGGGCATCACATGGTCGGCCCCGCACGTCTAAAGCATTTGCTTACTTGTTTTTTAATCCTTTCTCATGCATTATTAATGCAGCGCATGCTTAATGCGAAATGCATTAAGTTCACCTCTGCATCTGAAAAAGGTTAATTTCCCTCCCTCCCCCTTCCCCCCGCCTGGCATATAATGTTCATTCCAAGCGAACGCTCCACAGGCTATCGCTGGCGTATTAATTCAATTTTCTTTATTATATTGTAATTAATTTTCAATGATCACAGCATCTGCTTGCCAGCAAACGCCTCGCTTTTATGTTGCAGAACGATATTATAATATGTATTACAATCAAATAAAGAGCTGGAGTGCAGGGCTCACCGCGTTGGGCGCCATCACAACTTTCTGCTCTCCCTCTGCAGTTCAATATGTATTTCAGTGTGCGATTTTCATTTTCATTTCGCTGTCAGGATAAGGGAGGGGGAGGGGGAGGTTTATTGGCTATTCATTTTTCTGTTGTTTCTTTTTGCTTTTTTTATAGACCAAATGCGGTTATGGCGAACAATGTAACAATTAAAGTGGCCATTAGGGATGTGGAAATTGGAAAATCTTTGGTGAAAACTCTGCAAACTATGAAATCGAATTTCTCTGGCATCTCCAGGATTTTCATGGAAAATAACACCTTTTTCCAGATTTCAAAACTTCCATCTGAAGACCCCTTTTAAAGACCCTCCTGTGGTAACCATTCTCTGCCAATATATCCGTTTCATTTCCAAATGCTCCGCAAGTCAGGCATTCCAAATAAAATAAAATGGATACTGTGGCAACATAAAAATCAGCATCAGCATCATCATCATCACCAAAAGCAGCAGCAGCAGAAACAACAACTCCAACAACATAACAAAGCAATAGAATAAATGAATAAAAGTATGAAATTACATTACCAAGAGTATCAGGGCGAACAAAAAAAAAGAACTCAGAGAATGAAGAAAATTAATTGACCCGATTCAAGCTCAAGTTACAATTAATTACCAACACTTTCAGCAACACCCACAGAAAACATGGCCACCACCATGGCACAGAGGCGAGGGAGAATACGAAGAAGATGAATAAAATGAAGTAAAAGGCCAATGAAAGAGCCCGTGTAGACATACTTTATTAGCGACAGGGCCAGGCCTCCATAAGAATGAGCAGCCTACTGCCACCCTCCGCAATGGCAATTGCTGTAAAGAAGCTTGTGTGATATGCTCTTAAACAGCTGCATTAATAAATGGCCAACCAAAGAGAGAAGATGGCAAGGAGTAGAGGGACTTTATTTTCCCACTCGTCACCATGAGACCATAAAGTATCACTTGATTATCATAAATCTTTTTCCCAGCAGAACACATGTTCCAGGGGCATTTGAGCATGAATGGCAGAGTGTTTTTTTAGAATTGCTTAGAAAGAGGAGGCTGTGGAGAAAGGGATGTAAGTGGAGGAAGGAGGGGGAAAAAGGAGTTATTTTTACCGGTCCATAACAATTACCTTTAAATACTTAATTAATTAACGGAGATTTAGGAGGGAGTTTAGAGGCAAAAAAGCTATTACGATTTAGAACCAATTCGAATATTAAGGAGCACTTAAAGGTGAAATATAATTCCAGGTTAAGCAATCTGAGTTAGCAAGAAATATAAAAAAGGGGTGGAGAGGTAGGAGATTAGAGGAATTTCAACATGGAAAAGGATGGCTTCAGATTAATTAAAGCCAGGTGATCTCGAGCCCCAGAAGAAGTTATTTCTCGCCATAGAAGAACCAAAAAAGGGCCTGAGCTCTTCTCTCGCCATAGAAGAGGCAGAGCCCTAGAAGAGCCAGAGCCCCAGAAGAGGCAGAGTCCTGGAATACAGAGCTCATCTCTCGCCATAGGAAAGCAGTAGCTCTTCTCTCGCCATAGAAGAACAGTATATCCTTTATCGCCATTGAAAAGAGCAAGAGCTCTTCTCTCGCCATAGAAGAGCAGTAGAACATCTATAGACACAGAAAACAGCAGGAGCTCCTCTCTCATCACAGAAGAACCACAGCCAGGGCCCTTCTCTCGCCATAGGAAAGACTCTTTTCTTGCCACAGAAGAGGAGAGCACTTGTCTCGACAAAGATCGGGAGATCGAGCTCTCCCTCTATAGAAGAGCAGGAGCTCATCTAGCCATAGAGGGCAAGACCTCTTCTAGCTATAGAAGAACAAGAGCTCTTCCAGCCATAGATAGAAGAGCAGAGGATCTTTTATCCACAGGATAGCAGAGTCTATCCACAGAAGAATAATATAGGCTTCTTCTATCCACATAAGAACTTTGGTTCCTCTACCCACAGAAGTGCAGACGTTCTTTCAACCATAGAAGAAAAACAGAGGCTCTTCTATCCATAGAAGAGGAAGAAGAGAGACTCTTTATCCGCAGAAGGAGAGCTGAGGCTCTCCTATACACGAAAGAAAAGGAAGCTCTTCCATTTACAGAAGAGCTGGGGCTCTACTTCTCTACGTGAGAGACCAGAGGGTCTCCTCTGTCTAGAAGAAGACCAGGGTGTCTTCTCTTTCTCAAAAAAAAAGACCGAAGGGGTGTTTTCTTTCTCGAAAAAAAAAACAGGAAGTCGTATATGCCTCTAGGAAGACCAGAGGGTCTTCTTTGCCTCATTTCTGTCCAGCTGAAGACCAGAGCGTGAAGATCAGGGAGTTCTCCCTGTCTTGAAGAAGAATATAGGATCTTTTTTGCCTCCAAAATGATCAGTGGGTCTTCTTTGTTTAGAAGAAAACTAGGGGGTTTTCTGCGCATAGAAGAAGATCAGGGACCCCATAGGGGAATTCAAAGGTGGGGGAAAGCCAAAGGTGGCTTCCTCTTACAGAATATGGCCAAAGAAGGCTTCATCATATAGAAGAAGGCTAAAGGAGGCTTCATCATATAGAAGAAGGCTAAAGGAGGCTTCTTCGTAGAGAAGAAGGCCAAAGGGGTCTTCTTCGTAGAGAAGAAGGCCAAAGGGGTCTTCTTCGAATAAAAGAAGCCCAAAGGGGTCTTCTTCGAATAGAAGAAGCCCAAAGGGGTCTTCTTCGAATAGAAGAAGCCCAAAGGGGTCTTATTCGTACAGAAGAAGGCCAAAGGGGGCAGAAAAAGTCCAAAGGGGCTTCTTCGTATAGAAGAACGCCAAAGGGGGTCTTCTTCGTATAGAATAATGCCAAAGGGGGTCTTCTTCGCATAGAAGAAGGCCCAAAGGGGGTCTTCTTCGTATAGAAGAAGGCCCAAAGGGGGTCTTCTTCGTATAGAAGAAGGCCCAAAGGGGGTCTTCTTCGTATAGAAGAAGGCCAAAGGGTGTCTTCTTTGTATAGAAGAAGGCCAATGGGGGTCTTCTTCGTATAGAAGAAGGCCAAAGGGGGTCTTCTTCGTATAGAAGAAGGCCAAAGGGGGTCTTCTTCGTATAGAAGAAGGCCAAAGGGGGTCTTCTTCGTATAGAAGAAGGCCAAAGGGGGTCTTCTTCGTATAGAAGAAGGCCAAAGGGGGTCTTCTTCGTATAGAAGAAGGCCAAAGGGGATCTTCTTCGTATAGAAGAAGGCCAAAGGGGATCTTCTTCGTATAGAAGAAGCCCAAAGATGTCTTCTTCGTCTAAGTTTATACTTAAATATTTGGCGGTATTCGGTCTAAAATTTTGTATTCTTCTTTGTACCTGACTCTAAAAAATATTTGGTTTTCAAATTATTTGGATCTCCACCCTAATATGTTGATTTTCGAAACCCCTTTCAATCCTAATTGCCCTTAATCCTTTGCGACAACAACCAATAAATAAACATTCCCTGGCACATATGTTAATTGAATTAGCTGTTTTAAATTCCATGCAGCTATAAAAACAACAATAACAACAACAAATACACATATACATATGTATTTAACAAATTGCCCTTTTTAAAGAAAACAAACAAACAAAATCCGAAGAGTCGTCCCTTAGACTATTTACCAAAGCTCAACAAAACAAAAAAAGCTATCCTTTATTTGATCCTTTCATTTTTTCCTTCTCTTCTTTGTTTCCATTGCAGTAACTGCCCCCATGGAACACCCTCCCGGGTGCCGCTGCTCACCTGTAACTCGGCAACCAGTACCCATGAAGATAAATCGGCCACTCGAAGTTTTTTGCAAGCCACCGCCGCCACCTTCCAAAGGCACACCAGCAGCTTTCAAAGGAATCACCCGCAGCAGCCGCCACCCTCGGCCACGGCAACGATACAACGCAAATCAATGATAATCAACCACAAAGGAGAATGTAATCTCCACGTTACGCCCAAGCGAAGGAATTCGGCAATTTGTTATCGTGACCATCACGATACCTCCGAGGATGACGATGAATTTATGGAGGGCCAACAAAATACATATAAACTAAAAGATTTACAACAACAACACCACCACCAACAGACTGATAAGCTTTTGCATGCCACCATGGCGATGGGCAACAATGAATTGGAATTGGACAACAATTCCTTGGTTTCATATGGCGGCGATTCTACGACCAGTTCCCAACAATTACCTCAGGTACCGCTGCTGCTGGTGCTCATCATTCTGGTGTTCTACGTCTGCCTCGGCACCGTCATCTTTGCCCTGTGGGAGAATTGGTCACTGATCGATGGCGCCTACTTCTGTTTCGTCACCCTGACAACCATCGGCTATGGGGACTTTGTGCCGATGCGTACCTTTCAAGGACCCGAAATCCAATTGTTTGCCTGCTGTGCCTATCTGCTGTTGGGCCTGGTGCTGGTGGCCATGTCCTTTAGCATATTGGAGACGCAGCTGATATGGAAATGTAAACGATTGGCTGTGCGACTGAAATTGACCAGAGAATGATGCTGCGGTCAGCATTTGCAATTTGTATAGATTTTAAGGATTATGGAGGATATGTTGGTGTGTTGTTATTTTTTTTTTTTTTTTGCTTGGGGGGATTTATTTGTTTATTTGCAGACATGGGCGAGTAGACGAGGAGGACTAAGCTTTTCTGCTTCGGAGTTTTTTAATTGGGGAAAAGGGGGCAAATATTTTTCTGTGAGGAAGGAAGATACTGATATCCTTGGAAAATACTGGAAAAATATTAATATCCACAGATTGAAAAAAAAAATAAATTAATAAATATTGTTCAATTTGTAAAGGACCTTACATGTGAAATTATTAAAAATATTTTTTCAAGGACATTTGTAGATTTTTTTGAAAATATATTTTTATGGGGTTTCAGAGGTAAGAAGAAGGACATTTGAGATTTTTTTTTTTTTTTTAAATATGCCTTTAAGATTTTTTTTCAAGGACTATTGGGGAATTTTTGAAAAGTGTCTTGAAGGAGTTCTTCAGGCTTCTTCGTGGATTTTTTGAAAATATTTTCTCAGGAACATTGTCCCATCCTTGCAGTTTTAAAAAATATTTTCTCAAGGACCTTCAGAGCAGTGCGTAGATTTTTAAAAAATATTTCCCCAGGAATTTATAATGAGCATTCCGAATTATAAATGTGAATATTTTTAAAATATTTTCTTAAGAACCTAGGTAGCTACAAATGTGGATTTTTAAATGTGTTTCACATGGACTTTCTGGGCCATAAACGTGGATTTTTCAAATATATTTTCTCAATGACCAAATACATTTTCTCAAGGTCCTATAAACATGGATTTTTCAAATATATTTTCTCAATGACCAAATACATTTTCTCAAGGTCCTATAAACATGGATTTTGCAAATATATTTTCCCAAGGACATTCAAAGCCTCCCGTGGATTTTTAAATATATTTTCACAAGGACTTTCTGAGTCATAAAAGTGGATTTTTTCAAATATATTGACCTATAAACATGGATTTTTCAAATATATTCTCTCAAGGACTTTCTGAGTTATAAACGTGGATTTTTAAAATATATTTTTTCAGGGACCTATAAACGTGGATTTTTCAAATATATTTTCTCAAGGACCTATTGACGCGGATTTTTCAAATATATTTTTTCAAGGACCTATTGACGTGGATTTTTCAAAAATATTTCTTAAGGATTCTCAAGGACCTATTGACGTAGATTTTTCAAAAATATTTTCTCAAGGATCTATTGACGTGGATTTTTCAAAAATATTTTCTCAAGGATCTATTGACGTGGATTTTTCAAAAATATTTTCTCAAGGATTCTCAAGGACCTATTGACGTGGACTTTTCAAAAATATTTTATCAAGGATTCTCAAGGACCTATTGACGTGGATTTTTCAAAAATATTTTATCCAGGGTTCTCAAGGACCTATTGACGTGGATTTTTCAAAAATATTTTCTCAAGGATTCTCAAGGACCTATTGATTTTTTCAAAAATATTTTCTCAAGGATTCTCTATTGACGCGGATTTTTCAAAAATATTTTATCAAGGATTCTCAAGGACCTATTGACGTGGATTTTTCAAAAATATTTTCTCAAGGATTCTCAAGGACCTATTGATTTTTTCAAAAATATTTTCTCAAGGATTCTCTATTGACGCGGATTTTTCAAATATATTTTATCAAGGATTCTCAAGGACCTATTGACGTGGATTTTTCAAAAATATTTTCTCAAGGATTCTCTATTGACGCGGATTTTTCAAATATATTTTATCAAGGATTCTCAAGGACCTATTGACGTGGATTTTTCAAAAATACTTTCGTTGATTTTCTCAAGGATTGCCTGAACCAAAAATTGCAGACTTTCGAATATGTTTCCAGGTCTTTTCGAGTTTTTTTAGACAATTTTTTTAAGAATATGTGGGAATTTTTTGTATTGTTTGTCTTCCAATGCTGCAACGGGGAAAATTGTGGATTTTTTAGAATATTTTATAATGGGTTTCAAGACTATAAACATATATAATTTTAAAAAATATTTTTTCAGCACTTTTGGGGATTTTCAAAAATATGTTCTGGGAGAGTTCTCAATGTTTTTTTTTTTTTTTTTTTTTTGATTTTTTTTTTTTTTTTGAAGACTTTCTGAGATAAAAACGTGGATTTTTAAAAATAATTTCTCAGGGTTTTTGTGGATTTTTTAAAAAATATATTTAAGGACTTTCTAAACTAAAGCGATGATTTTTTTTAAATGTTCTCTAACATTTTCTGATTTTTTTATAAATATTTTAAGACGGATTTTCCGGGATGCCTTTAATAAAATTTCTTCAGAGTAGATGTGTGGATTTTTGAAGCCTATTTTCTCGAGTATTTTTTTAATTCTTTTTCTAATGGGCTTTTGTAGATTGCTGAAGGGCTTTCAGAGCTACAAATGTGGATTTTTTAAAAATATTTTTAATATATTTTAAAATATTTTTCCGGGGTTTTTTGAATTGTTTTAATAAATATTTTCTTAAGGACATTCGTGGATTTTCTCATAAACTTATTTGCATTTTTTACGAATATTTTCTCAAGGACCTACTGAGTCTTGGTTTTAAATATTTTTAAGTATCTTTTTTTTATCGGAATGATCCAATGCTACAAACCGGCAAAATTTGAGGATACTTTAAGAATATTTTCTAAAGGAGTTTCGAAGCTATATAATCATATATTTTTTAAATATTTGTAAGGACTTTTGTTGACTTTCAAAAATATTTTTTCAATGTTTTTTTTTTTTTTGGCAAAATGGTAAGGCTTAACCCGATTATTGTTGTTTTTATAAAAACAACGTTTGTTTATTATATTTATAAAAAAATAATGGAATTAAACCTGATCATTTTGCAACAACAAATGGTACTATGGTATCTCAAACAAACATACCAACACTGTTTTAAAAATATTTCCTCGAGGGCTTTATTAACAGAAAAACATAGATTTCTGAAAAAAACGATGGATTTTATTTTTGGATTTTTTAAAAATATTTTGAAGGACTTTCCAAGCTGAAGCGAAGTTTTTTTTTTTTTAATATTTCCTCAAACACTTTCTGATTTTTTTTAAAATATTTTTGGATGGACTTTTCGAGATGTCCTTAAGAATATTTCTAATTTTTTAAGACTATTTTCTTAAGGGGTTTTTCGAAAAATAAATAAATAAATAATGGACTTTTGTGGATTTTCTAAAGGACTTTCAGAACTATAAATTTGGATTTTTATAAATATATATTAAGGATTTTCAGAAAAATTTTTTTAAATTATTTCTCAAGGACTTTTGGAGCAGCGATTTTGTCTTTAGGTATTTAGGGGCTTAAGAAGATAGTTTTTACTGTTGCTGCAGATATTTGTTTGCTTTCTATTTTTTCTATAAAATTTTTCCCTGCCAAATTATTTCCTTGCTTTCCACCTCTCATTACTAATTGTCTAATCAATATTCACCTAAAACACATGTATAAAGCTTTATGTAAAATAAAATACAATAAAAAAACGCTACCAATATTATTATTAAATTTCCAAATCTAAACCATAAAAAACTCAAAACTATTGCTTTCAATTATTCCTATCCTACCATAAAAAAACAATTATCATAAAAATAAATCTGATAGTATAATCTAAAAACATTATTAATGGCTTACCCATATCAAAAAATAATAATAATAATAATAATAAGAATAATTGTAAAAAATGGGCAAAATATAATTAACGTTAACTGTGGACGTCAACAGCAGAATCAAATCAATTTCTTTCTTGTGTAAAATATGAAAAAAAAAATAATTTAATTAATAATGGTAAAAGTATATAAATAGATATGTATGTAAACAAATGTATTTATAGTGTTAAAAATAAAATAAAATTAAAAAGAAAAACAAATCAAAAATAATAAAAACATTTAGCAATATTAATAGAATTATAGAAAATAAAAAAATAATTAATAACAAAAGAAAGAAAATAAATAAAAGCAAAAATAATAAAAGCAGACGAAAAAAATAACATAGATAATTTTTGAAAAAATAAGCGAAGGTGTTTTAAATATTCCAAAAAATAATTGGTAATATAAGGTGGAAGGTAAGAGTTTTGCCTTATTGAAGGCTTAAGCTTAAAAATAAAATACTATATACAATTTTTCAAGCACCTTTGTAGACTTTTTAAATATAATTTTTAAAGGACTATTGTGTTTTTTTTTTTTTTTTTTCAAAAAATGTCCTTAAATACATTATTCTCACATGTGAAATTATTAAAACTATTTTTTCCAGGACATTTGTAGATTTTTTTGAAAATATATTTTCAAGGAGTTTCAAAGGTAAGAAGAAGGACATTTGAGAATTTTTTTCTTAAATATTTCTTTAAGAATTTTTTTCAAGAACTATTGGGGAATTTTTGAAAAGTGTCTTGAAGGAGTTCTTCAAAATTCCTCCGTGGGTTTTTTGACAATATTTTCTCAGGAACATTGTCCCATCTTTGGATTTTTTAAAAATATCTTCTCAAGGACCTTCAGAGCAATGCGTAGATTTTTAAAAAATATTTCCCCAGGAATTTTTAAAGAGCATTCCGAATCATAAATGTGGATATTTTTAAGTATTTTTTTAAGGACCTAGGTTGCTACCAATGTGGATTTTTAAATGTGTTTCAAAAGGACTTTCTGAGCCATAAACGTGGATTTTTCAAATATATTTTCTCAATGGCCAAATATATTTTCTCCAGGACCTATAAACGTGGATTTTGCAAATATATTTTCTCAAGGACCTTCAAAGCCACCCGTGGATTTTTTAAATATATTTTCTCAAGGACCTTCAAAGACACCCGTGGATTTAAAAATTTTCACAAGGACTTTCTGAGTCATAAAAGTTGATTTTTCAAATATATTGACTTATAAACGTGGATTAAAAAAATTCCTCCAAAAACTTTCGAGTATCTTTTAAAAATTATTTGTCAACGACCATCGAAAATTATCAACAAAATTCTCGACAATTTTTTAGATTTTGTTAAAATATTTTCTTTTCGAACGAAATGCAGAGAAATTTAAAAATTAAATTAACAAAAACACTTACCAATTCTCTTTGAGATTTAGTACTTTT